GCACAGTCTATTTCTCCATAGTTATGGTTTCTTACTGAGCAAGTCCCTAAAATATGATTTGTTTTATGAAAATCCTTGTCTCATTAAGCTTCTTTATGAAAATATCCTAAGGAGTGAGGAGTTACTCAACTAAATTATCTTTAATCAATCATTATCTTATCATTCTAGAATGGTTCATAAAATTGAACGGTCAAGCAATGCCACAAAGTTTTCTATTTATTTCGTGAGAGTTAAAATGGCTCAACTTCCTAATAATGGATTTCTATAATAAGATATGGTTCACTTTCTAACATTAAAAATATCTTCCAGTTTCTTCTATATTTATCTCAAATGTCAGACTTTTGATTGATTTTCAAATTAGAACAAGTCATTTCCGAGCACCATCCTGCCTCCCCCCACCACCTCCAAAACAGAGGGTAGTCAAACCGCGTAGGTAAATTTAGCTAGAGAGAGATCAGAGATTGGTATTGCTTCTCTTTTGTCTTTCAGAGCTATACTATATATTTTATAAAGTGACATGCTCTAACGACATTGGTCATGATAAAGTAAGTCCAGCTAGGATAGTATTGTGGCATTTCACCTGCAATTTCTTCCAGTTTTTTGATCGCTCCAGAATATAAGATCTCAGTAGCAAAAAAAGAAAAAAAAATCTATATATACAGAAAGAATCATTCACCTCACTCTATATGTCTCTGACCACCAAATAATTCCCTGCTGTGACAGGCCGTGAGTTGTTAAAATGCAGAAACTGTTTGTGATCTCCTCTAAAACACGTGGAAAATGTTTCACAATTGTCCTGTCATTTCTGGACTTGAAATGAACTTTTCAGTAGAAAGTCACATTCTTCCAGATAGCTGTGGTGTGTAAGCAGATAGGAAAATAAAATTAAAATTATACTTAGAAGAGAACTTGCCTAATCATACATGTAATCAGAGGCATTTCATTGTCTAGTAGAAAGTAGGGAAGGTTTTGAGAAACAATCTAGATCAACTCCTACATGCATTCTAAAATAGATGGTAATTATGGGTCATAGAGGGAGCCCACAAGAGACAGGGCAGCTCAATTTGCTTTGTAGGCAGACGGACCAAGAAGGTCATGAAGTCAGAATCGTCTTGTTTTAAAAGTTGTTGTTGGGTGCTACCCCATGTGACGGAATAGAACTGCCCCGTAGTGTTTTGTTGGCTGTAACCTCTACGGAAGCAAATCCTCAAGTCTTTCTTCTGCAGAGCTGCTTAGTGGGTTCAAACCTCCAACCTTTTGGTTAGCAGCTTAGCACTTAAGTCTTAGAAGTAAGGGATCACTATCATAGAAAAATCATATTGTTTAACATTCATAGAGCATTTAAAGTTTACATAAACAGAAAATATATTTTTATATGTCTTTTGAATTGAGTTTGAATTGAGTCCCTGAGTGGTACAAAGGATTTACAAACTCAGGTGCTAATTGAAGGATTGGTGGTTTGAGCCTATCCAAAGATGCATTACAAGAAAGTTCTAGGAAAGGTCATGGAAGCTCCAGAGACACATTCAAACTCCCTGAGGGACTGAATTGCTGGGCAGAGGGCTGTGGGGACTGTGGTTTCGGGGAACATCTAGCTCAATTGGCGTAACACAGTTTATATTGACAATGTTCTACATTTTACCTTGGTGAGTAGCATCTGGGGTCTTAAATGCCTGTGAGCAGCCATCTAAGATACTCCACTGGTCTCACCCCTTTGGGAGCAAGGAAGAATGAAGAGAATAGGATACAAGGAAAAGATTAGTCCAAAGGACTAATGGACCACAGTTACCAAGGCCTCCACCAGAATGAATCCAGGATAGCTAGATGGTGCCCAATTACCACCGCTGACTGCTCTGACTGGGATCACAACAGAGGGTTCTGGACAGAG